CATTTATATCAGAGAAATGGGATTATAAACAAAACCAGAGTAAATCGACATATGGAATTTGAGTGATGTATCAATATTTTTGTTTCAGGTAACCAAATCAGAACTCAAACATATTCAGGCTAATCTGAAAAAGGAACATGCACCTGGCTGTTCAGGACCAATTGTTCACTGGTGGAACTTTCATAATTTTTCTGGTGGTGACAGGTAGACATTCCTCAACCTCCAAGCTGTGTACACCATGCCTTTCTCTGGGAGGCTTGTCAGTTCTGTTAATATGATCACACCAAGGATTGCCTCCCTGCTTTATTAATTTCATCTGTGCTCATTTTTTTTTTCCTTTTTGTCTTTTTTCGTGACCGGCAACAGATCGCAACCCTCAGTGTCGCGCCCATACCGGACCGGGACCGGCAATGGGATCGCAACCCTCGGTGTTGCGCCCGCACCTCGCTCAGCCAGTGAGCGGCCGGTCTGTACGTGGGATCCGAACCCTCGGCGGAAGCGCCGCCGTGCTCCCAAGTGGCGCACTGTAGCAGTGCGCAACCGGGCCAGCCCCATCTGTGCTCATTTGATCACCTGATCACTTTTACTCACAGAGAAAAAGGGAAGAATAATTTGGCAAAGGGAGCTTGGCATTTACAGCTTAGTTTTATATCCTTTTCAATGCAGCTTACCTTTAAGTGACTCATTTAGAGTTAAATGAAACACTATACAGTTAATCAAATCTCTCTGTTTGCAACCACTTTTCCCCTAAGAAAAACAAATTATATTTATGCCTTGTTTTATACTGTTTATTATTAGGCTATATAACATCCAAAGTGTTTAAGAATTTGTTATTTGACATTTCTAAGTACTTGAGAAATGGGTTACAAATGTTATTCTGCTCAAAATATGCTTATAGTTTGCTACTAAATATAGTAAATTCTTCCAACCATGGAATAACTCAGTATGTTTTTCTGATAAAGTCTTGTGCCAAAGACCATCCCATTAGAGAAACCATTATCATAAAGAATGCAAGGTTCAACATTGTTCTATCATATCAGAATTATATGGCTTCAACAGTGCAGCCACTTTAGAAAACAGTATGGTAGTAACTTGTAAAATTAAACGTGCCTTTACCACATGACCAAACAGTTCCATCCCCACATGTTTACCCAAGATATATGAAAATATATGTGCACATAGAGAGTCTGATGGCAATTACTGAGACAGCCAAATGTGAATAGCTGTTATTCATAAAAGATAAAAACCAGAAGTAATAAAAGGTTGCTTACTTAATTGATGGATCAATGAACAAATTGTGGTATATCCATAGCATGGGATATTACTCAGCTATTAAAAACATTATGTTAAGCAAATTAAGTCAAATGCAAAAATCTATGTACAGTATGATTCTGTTTAAATGAAATCTAGAAAAGACAAAATTACAGTGACAGCATGTCCATGGGACCTGGGACCATGGGAAAGGATCAGGTGCAAAGGGACTCAAGAAAACTGTTTAGCAGGAGGGATTGGTTGTCTGTCTTGATTGTGGTGGTGCTTGCATGGTAGTATAGAATTACAAAAAGCATTAAGCTGTACACTTGAAATTGGCACACTTTATTATCTGCAAATAATGCCTTAGAAAACAACAATGATGAAAGATTTTCTCTTTGATACCTGGTATGAATTCCTGAGAATATAGTATATGCCCCATTATGAAAGAGCAGGTGGTTTATTTCAAATCAAAAAGAAGGGATAAAAATATGTATCTTCAAATCTTTAAATCTCTAAACACTATGTGATCTATAATATTCTATATATTTTAGATGAAAACCTATATGTGCAAGAAAAAGTTGGTTCTGTTTTATACGTTTATATTTATGTACATTTTTGTAAGATAATATGACTATATTTAAAGTCACTTAAACTTCTTTGTGAATGAACTGCAGTTGGTAAGAAATTTCAAAAGGCAAATGTGTTTCTTAGAACATGAACATTGAGATAAAGCAGTGGCCTGTAAATCTCTATTGCTGAACTGAATGATGGTCGATAATCAGCAACAGCATATATTTATATTTAAGAGCTACTTGCCTTCATGTTATTTTATATTCCAATTATTCATCTTAATGCATTTTGGGATAGTCCAAAAAACACCAAGATAGTACTTTACAGGAAGAGTGGTCTCCTGGAGAACAAAATGGTTAGGTCCTACTTGAGATAAGTGGGTTATATTCATTCAAAGATTGCCTGAAGGTTTGAATTTGCAATCCATCACTCTTGCAGGTGAATCAGATTTAGATAATCAAAAGCTTGCTAGTGCTGTTGCTTTTTCATCTTTTCTGCATCTAAAATGTTATAATGGCTTTCCTCCCCCCAAAGTTTTCTAGTTCCAGATAAGGTTTGTTTATAACTGTAAATTGACCGTATCTTTCCATGGATATCACCATGATGTCTATGTTTTTGCTCAAGATGAATTTATTTAACATCAACCCAACATATATTAAGCAGTAGGAATTCATAGTTTTAACCAATTCTTTCTCCATTTAATCATAATTACTCTCTTTCAGAAATTATACTGTTGTTAATTCCAAAATCATCGTGGTCACAATAAGGCCTGAACCCAAAACAACTGATTCGTTTCTGGAGATAGAATTAGCTCATTTGGCTAATGTAAGTACTACCCACTTGGCATTGAATTACATATAGAATTATCTCTTAAAGAAGGTTAACAGTCATTCTTTTTATCAATAAGACCGGAACACATTTTCTAGACTTTTATAGTTGCAAATGAATTAATTTGTTATGAGCATATGTGTTATATAGAAACAGAATACCATATTATTCTATGCTTTTGTTCATGATAAAATTCTCTTCAATTTATCCAAAATAATAGTTAATAATTTGTTTATTTATCAGTGCATACATCTTTACTGAGCTCTGTGCTAGACACTGTAGAGACCAACTAAGTAAGAGCCTTCCTCTCTATGTGGTGGGGAAGACGAGATTCCATATGCATGCAGTAGAAGTTATAAACACAGTACAAAGGAGAATGATTAAGGGAGGATGCGGTGAGTAAGGCAGTGTGTAAAAGTAAGTCAAAGATCAAAGAAGGGTCCTTACAACTACCTGGGTGCTCCAGTGGTCTAAATCTAATCTTCCACCCCAGAACGAGGGCTAGATTTCTTTCTTAAATCCATCCAACTGCAACTGAAATGCTTTAGATCTTGTTCAGTCCTATATAGAAATTTAAAATATCTAATCATCATTTATACATTCACTTTAAATATTTAAAACATTGATGGGCAGGGACTAGGAATTTTTCTGTAACCAATTTCTTTCAGATCTCACTCAAATTCCTTCTCACTGGTGAAGCTTTCCTAATGTACAAAATTACGATCCATCAACTTTCCCAGTTTTTCCTACTCACTGTGATTTACTTTTAATTATAACATGTATTGCCATCTAGCATATTATATACTTACTTTATGTTTTTTGTCTCTTTCCCTGCCCCCTTCACTATAGTGAAATTTATAAGTCAGGGATTTTGGTTTTTGTTCAACCCAGTATACAGAACCTTGCAGGATATCTGGAACGTAACAGGTGTTTACTAAATGATTTTTGCATGAATATGTGAATGGATGAACTTGTTCTGATCGTCTTCCTGGCTCTCTCTTCTGACTTGCTTCTTTGTGGGAATACTTTACAATAGTGAGGTGTATTTAAAGTATCCCTTAGAAAAGAAGACTTGGGAGAGAGTTTTGAAAGAATAAAATAAATTCATTCACAAATATCATTCTAGAACCATGGATAGCTATGTCTAGAAAGTGTGTCCAAATCCCTTATTTTATAAGTAAGAAAACTGAAAAGATACACAAAGCAAAGTAAAAGAGAGAATCATCCATAGAGATACATTGACAAAGCTGATGAATTATTCTTCTGTTAAATAAAGTGATTGGTTTGGTTGATGTTGAAACAGAGGAGAGAAATAAAAGAAAATAGCAAAGGCACTTGAAAGTGGTGTAGGGAACATTTATGATAATTAGGCAGTTTGGATTATCATTCATTTTTAAAGTGCTTAAAAGTGGATGAATCGTATAACTTCGTATAATGTATGCTATACGAAGTTATTACGAGTGGGGAGAACAGAAGAGGAAGAATTTATGCTAAAGAATAAAAAGTCTGGAAGGTCTCTTTCTTTGGTTGTCCACTCATGTGCAGTGTGGCAATTTTATGCACGTTTTCAGAAGCCATTCCGATTACCATCCACATAACAAAGCCTCTCTGGACTGCTTTGGACTCCTTTTTTAAATACCTATCACAACATACACAGCCCTGCTTTACTGTTTTGAATTTCAAATGCTTGTTATATTTACATTCATTTTATCACCCAAGTTAGATTTTCTAAATACTTTATGGTTTGCTAAGAGAAGGGATATGTGACTGATTTATTGAATACCTCAATATTTATTGCCAGTCTTGTAAAGATACGTTCTATATACTGATAGTAGTTTATTTCCTTTGAAGAGATAACCAGAAAGGCTTGTTCTGAAATATGATAATCTTAGGTAAAATGTGAGGAAAAGATATGTCTTAAATATGCAGATTGAAATTGGTTAGAACAATCCATATTTATAGATAGATAGACCCATTGTTATTGCCTTCAAAACTGAACTATTTTACATATGACATATCTCTGATATCAAACATGTCTACTTTAACCTATTTTCTTACATCAAAAGTATGTTTGGGAAAGAATAATATCTTGCAAATTACATCATATACCATGGTGGGGGGATAAAAGGAAAAATGGAAATTAATAGTTATAGCTAGTCTAGGGAAAAGCCTGCTAACATTTTCTAACTGAAATGTGTTCTCTTAAAAAGCTTTTTAACAAATAGTGTTTACAGTATGTTAAATATAATAAGGCCCTTGGGAACTAGTAAGAATAGGTAATAGAATAAGGAAACTTCTGATTCCAAATTGTATTTAGCAAAGCCAATTGCAGTTTTAACTAACTCATAAATCATTGATGAGTAAGACACTATTCTGAGTTCAGTTTCTTAGTCTTACGTTTTCATTGTCATGACCTATAGAGTCAGGATTTGTGTTCCTTAGTGCCTGGGCATAGCAATTGTTAGCTTTTGAGAAATATCTAATTTGCTTTTCCCAGGAAAAGAATTTTGTTTTCTTTCTTACTTAAGGTTTCTTCAGAGTGATATTTGTACTTCTCATATTGTTATGTTCTACAATGCATAAGGAAACGATAAACTTATTGAAAATAATTCTTGAGACCTAGATAAGGGCAACAGAATAGATATGTATGTACGCACACACACATACACACACCATTAGATCTGAGAGGTCTGGGCCTACTGTGACTTTCCAAAGTGAATAACATCCCTTCTATAAAGGTGAGTTAGAATAAGAAAATAAATGCATTTTACTTATCTCCTGATCTATTAACTTTGCAAGCCTGAGAATGCATTCTCTTTGCAAATAAATATTCTTTATGTAGTTTTATTCAGAGTGGAAAGGTACAGTGCTGTAGTTTTATTCAGAGTGGAAAGGACAATGCTGGCCTGTAGTCTAACCTTGCCTTTAATTTTTTTTTTTTTTCTTCCACTGGGGACCAACTCTGGGTAGAGTGCTACAGCTATCTTTCGGGGTTGAGAAAAAACACCAGGTTTATTTGTAGTTCTCAAATTGGTCATATGCCCAAAAGATCTCATGGGAATTTGGGCTTGTGGATTTTGTTTTCTTTGCCATGTTTGCTTGCATACTAACAGGATCAAGTTAGCAAATTAAGAAATTTGTTTTATGTGCAAAAACTAAAATTAATTGTGAGCCATGACCTTTGTAAATCATAATGGAAAACACAATGGAAGACTGTAATTCATATGCTTTTTACCGTTAGATAAGCATGAGAAACAATGAGAAAAAATTCCAACATTTTTCAGGGTTATTTTCATGTAAAATTTGTCTACAAAAATAGGTGGCAGGCCAAATTTATCCCATGGGCTATAGTTTGTCAACCCCTGTGTGGCAGGTGGAATAATGGTCCCCCATGGATGTCCACATCCTAAATCCCAGAACCTGTGAGTATTATGTTACATGTCCAAACAGGACTTATGTGTGACTACACATCAAAAGAAACACGTGTGTCACATGTGTGTTATATGTCAAAAGGGATATTTGTCTGATGTGATTAAGGGTAAGGACTTTGAAATGGGGAAATTACCCTGAATTATCTGACTAGGTCCAGTTTAATTACATGAGCCATTAAGAGTGGAGAACCTTTCTCATCTGTGGTCAGAGAGATGCAATGTAAGAAGGACTCAACCTGTGATTGCTGACTTTGAAGATGAAGAAGAGGACTGACTACAAACTACGGGGATGTTAGCAGCCTCGAAAACTGAAAACAGTCCCTGGTTGCCAACCAGGGAGGAAGTGGGGACCTCGGTCATAAAATGGCAAGGAACCATAAGCAGATTCATCCACAGATCCTCCAGAGAGGAGTGCAGTCTTGCCAACACTGATCTTAGCTTTGTGAAACTCTTAAGCAGACACTCACCTGAGCTCACTTGACCCATGGAAACTGTGAGAAAACAAATGTGTGTTGTTTTGTGTTGCTATGTTCATGATAATTTGTTACATCAGTGGTAGAAAACTAATACACCCTGCATTGGAGCACTGCAAAATTAATTTATAGTAATAAAAATAATATATTTATACATTAATAGTGCCATTTTGAATCGGATGTATTATACTGATAATACATTATTCAATGAAAATCAATTAAAAACTACAGAGCACATTTTGTCCTGGTTATTATTATACTAGCACTCAAAGAACCTGATGAAAGAAATCACAAGACAGTGAGAATAGTCATTATAAAGTGGTGGTGGGATATTAGGGGAAATTGGAGAATGCCATGAGACAGCATCACCAAGGCAGCCAAACAAAGAGCTGTATGTAACAAGGTGTTAGATGTCTAGGACAACTCTGACATTTGCCAATGTGTTGTGCTCTTGAAACAACTTAACAAAACTTTTCTGCTGACAGCTGGTAAACTGGACTAATGCAAACCACTCTGCCTGCCCTTGTCTCTATTACAACCCTGTATAATTATTATTAGGATACATTATTATATCCTATTGGATATAAAAGGAAAAGACTTAAGTTGTTTGCTATATCTATATAGAATTTAGTTACTTAAATGTTTGTTTATTACAGTTATTTGCCACTTCAACTCATAGGAAATACTTAGACAGTTTTTCCCCCTAGAAGTCCCATTCATTTGCTGAGAGGTTCACCATACTCTATATGGCCATTGTTGGAAATGATGTAATCATATATGGGTAATACACTCTAAGACATATACATGGAGGCAAGAATTTTTTTTGTAGGATACACATATACAAGGGTACTTCAAAAGGTTTGTGTAAAAATAGAATTAAAAGATGATACAAATCTTTCCACAAACTTTTTGAAGTACCCTCATAAAAAATTTCTGATGATGGTTTTACCTTTTACTGCTTCCCATATGATAGAGAGAAAGTATTCATCAGGAAATAATGTCCACTCAGGTTAGTGATATATCTCAGAAATTAGAGAAGCAAGCTGTTATCACATGTATAAAAATAGTGTCATCTAGTTAATGTGAGCTACTG